AAAGACACAGGTGTCCTGTTGCACCACTCAGGGAAAGGCTATCAGGGGGCTGATTGCCCAGGCTGGTTATCACACAAACTTTTTACTCCTTTACACGGCCTCTGGTCATTTAACTGAACAAAAATACCTCCTGAAGGCTAAGAAAGCCTCAGCAAGATGTATGCAGTGTTCACATTTAAGAGGGATATTAGAGCTACAATCTGGATATTCTCTATAGATGTCACTGGTACTATTTATAATTCTATAATTTTATTAATGACTTGTTTTAATATTTAAACAATGGTATAATAAAAAATAATGTAGCTCTTTTTGTACATAGCTTCTACCATCTGTCTGGTGCAAATTTTTTTTTTTTTTTTTTTTTAATGACAGCCTGAAAACATAAGCAAAGTCTGGCCAGGAACAGCAAATGTTGGCATGTATCCAGCCACTTTCCACTTTCCATCTTCCTCTCCCCACATCCCAAAGCCCATTCAAAGACTTCAACAACTGTACTCTTAAAAGAATTTTAAAGTATTCTTCAACATGGCTCTCAAAGCAGTAGGTTTATAAATTTCAGCAGCAACCAAAACATGTTGGCTAACCTGGGTTTCTTGGCCTTTTCTCCATGTATTTTATACTTTTTCTTCTTCTTAGGTGGCCCAGAGGAGGTATAACAGTAGGCTTCCTCAATTTCCTCCATCACGACAGTTACCTCAGTACCATCATATGATGCATCCATGGCTATAGGCAAGGAAAATCAAACACAAAATTTTAAAAGTCTATCCTAAAAGGAGCAACTGCCTCCAGATGCAATAATACCTTACTTCTATCATGGTCTAAAGGCTTAGTCATTTCCCAAACTCAGCAGATACTAAGAAACATGGGTACTTGTTAAATATACAAATATCAAGGCTCTACTTCTTCTGAATCAGAATCTCTAGAAGGTATATAAACTTGTATACTTCACAAATATCTTAGGTGATTCCTTTGACATACTCATATTCACTCATGGAACACTGCAATTCTTCAACTCAAAGACTTTTTAGCCCCACGTTATAAGAATTCCACATGGAAACAGGTAAAAAGACAACCTGGCCAGGAGTCAGAAGTTCTCACCCTCTCCCTTAAGGGGTTATTCATCAACTTAAACAGCTTCAATTCATTGAAGTAATTCAAACAGCAATAAGGACCTATGTACAAAAGATTTCTTTACACTCTGTCAGCTTGTGTGATTTCAACTGTTTGTGTGATTTTTAACTGATTTAGGTTCAGTTCTCTCATGTATAAAAAGAGATGTCTCACCTCCCCACAGATTTACAGTGATAAGTCTCAAAAGAACTAACAGACATAACTATTATTTGAGAACAGATAAGTATTATACAAATGAAAGCACTCATTATTAAAGACTATTATTTGTAACTAAGATGCTTAACAACTTGCCTAAGGCCACCAGACCTTTTTATTTTATCTTATTTTTTTGGTACTGGATATTGAACCCAGAGGTGCTTAACCACTGGGTCACATCCTCAGTGCCGCAGTCTGGCTGGGCACAAAATCACAAGCCACTCAAGCAGGAACAAACTATTTCCAAAATTCCCACTAACGCCACGCACGCGGCCTTCTCCCAGGACACACACCAACAGGAAATTCCTCCTCTGGAAATCCCTCCTACCGCACTTCCCCAACCAATGGGAACTCTCCGGGAGTCCCGGCAAGAGCTCCAAAGTAGCAGGCCGAGGAGGACAGCAGGGGTCTAATATCCAATTGAATGCACATCTTAACATAATCATTATCATCTCAATGGCTTGCTGGCATCACCTTTCAACCAAAAATGCCATGCATCATTCCTACTGGCTATGGCTCTTAGCACTCAGCCCTTTTTGTATTTTATTTAGAGACAGGTTGAGTTGCTAAGTGCCTTGCCAAGGTGCTGAAGCTGGCTTTGAACTAGCAAATCCTCCTGCCTCAGCCTCCCTAGTCGCTGGGATTACAGGTATGTGCCAGTGTGCCAGGCTCCTTTTTAATTTTTTATTAAAAAATTCAACTCCCTAGTCCTTTTTACATAATGCTACACTGCTACTGGCAACTCTCCCTACCAGAACTGTCCAATAAACCCCAATGGAAATGATCTACTCTATGCTGTCTAGTATAGTATCCACTAGTCACATAAGGTTATTTAGATGTAGAACCAGACTAATTTTGCTTTATTGAACTGTAATTAATTTAAAATAGCTGTATATGGCCGATACGAGTACAGTGGCAAAATACTATTCAGCACAGATCTAAATGGTAACCTGATAGATCAACATTAGCTCTCTGAAGCTGGCTTAAAAACACAGAAAATCTACTGAGAGCTTTTATGTCTAGGAAAAAGGAGGGATAAAAAACTGAATGCCTGGGGCTGGGGATGTGGCTCAAGTGGTAGCGCACTCACCTGGCATGCATGCGGCCGGTTCGATCCTCATCACCACATACAAAAAAGATGTTCTCTCTCTCTCTCTCTCCCCCTCTTAAAAAAAAAATTGCTTGTAATATGGCAAGATTGTTTAAAAAAAAAAAACAAAAAAACTTAATGCCTAGCCAGGCATGGTGGCGTACACCTGTAATCCCAGCAAATCAGAAGGCTGAGACAGGAGAATCCTAAGCTCAAGACCAGCCTTAGCAACTTAGTGAGGCCCTAAGAAATTAGTGAGACTCTGCCTCAAAATAAAACATAAAAAGGGCTGGTGACTTAGCTCAGTTCAGTGGTTAAAAAAAAAAAAAAGTGGGATGTGACTTAGGGATAAAGCCCCTCTGGGTTTTAAAAAACACTGAATGCTTAGGTCAAGAAGAGATTGTTTATTTGTGATCAAGTTCTAGGTTGGAATTTTATCAATTAAATCCTTGAAGAAGCAAGATTCTCAGAAAACACTTGAATATCCTGAGAGGAATAATAGTTGTTAATGAAAATCTATCAGAAGAAAATTTGGAATTCTGGAAAAAAGGAATTTGCGGGATTCTGGAAAGAGGTAGGAAACACATGACTGTATGTACTACAAAGCCCATCTGCATCTCATTTAGACCTCACTCCACAAATGATAAGGCATCTTACAACTATAATGAGCAAAAGAAGTCTATACATGGAGTCAGGGGACCTGAATCCAACTCTAAATTCTTACTTAATTATCTCAAACAAAGGCAATCCACAACCTAAATTTCCGTTGTTTTTTCTATGGACAAAGAGGATGAAATTAGTAGCTCCTACCTTTGAGGAGTCAAGAATCCTTTTGACAAATGTGAAAGCTAAAAACCTCCCCTAGAAAATGAAGACAAATAATATTTCACCTATATTTTAAAGATATATATCCCAGGTTATAAGCATATTATTCCTAAGGTCTTTTATAGTTATGTTATCTCTAAATGATTCCTCTTCTGCCCCTCTCCCCCAAAAACCTCTAAACAAAGAAAACAAAAACAAAAACTTGCAACCCAGGAAAAAAATATAGTTCACAACTTGGTTGGATAAACAAAAGGCAAAAGGGTAAGGGAAGCTGGAGTTCAAAGCAAGGTTATGTGGGGACTGTGTTTTTTGTCCTTTATAATTGATTTCCTGGCCCTTAAAATCCTTGTAGAGAGGATCAGTATCTCCAAGAGAACATCTGTAAAGGATGACATGTAAGATTTTAGCAACCAGGGCAAAACAAGTTAAGAACCAACATCAATACAACCACATTTGGAGCAGGAAGAGACTACCCTAAGCTTTTGTTTTACTCTCCTGTTCTGTCTGGGAAGAATGTTTTCCGCGGCTAGGCCTAGTGCATCAGGGCAAAAAGAGGCAGGATAAAATGAGGTTAAAGCCAAGGGCTCTACAGAAGACCTGGGTACTAATGTTGTTTCCACTGTTTAATAGCAGAAGCACAGACCCCTACGGCCTTAAGAAACCTTTTTACCCTCTCCAAACCTTAGTTTTCTCATTTGCAAAACACTTTAACTAGAGACACTTTCACTGTCCCATCAGATCCTGGGAATCTCGTAAGATGACCTTCTGATGGCTCGACTATCGGCCAGGTTTGACTCTGGGATACCTTAGTTCCCTCCCTGGGTCTCAGATGTCTCAAAGGCATGGGCTGAGGGAAGAGGAAACTAAAGCTCACTGGTCCTACTTTGTCGAAGAGGCAACCGAAGCTAAGAGAGCGACGGCACTTAGTTCGAGGTCGCCCAGCAGGTAGACAGGGCGGCGTGACCCTCGTGAACCAGACTTACCAGGAGGAGCGTGCTAGCCGCGCGGCTCACATTCCCGGAGGCGCCTGGCCCAAGGGCTAGACTAGGAGGCTTGCCCGCGCACTCGCGCTCCCCGCTGTCGGAGAGAGGCGGCTCCAGTCGTGACAGCGGCAACAAGGAAGTGGAGGCGAGGGCTCGCGCGCGCATCCCGGGTACTGGAGGAGCCCCGGCCCCGGGGCCCCCCGGAGACACACGGCGCAGAGTCGCGACCACCCCTCCTGCTCCCCTCCTCGGAGTCGCGATACGGGGTCGGGAAGGGCAAGTGCAGGAGTTCAAGTTCACTTTGCAGGCTTCTCACCGACGCCTGCCGAGGACCCCGGGGGTCGAGCCCCGGGGAGCCCGAGGAAGAGCGCAAGGACGCAAGTATCGCCGCGGCACTAGTCTAGAGGTGGCAGCAGCAGCAGCGGCGGCAGCAGCAGCACACCATGGATCGCCAGGGAGACCCGTCCCGGCGGCCCTCGCGGCGCACCGGAAGTGGCCGGCGGCGCGTGACTGCGTGAAATCGCTCGCGCAAGCGCAACAGTCTAGCCCTAGCTGGGAAGTGGATCCAAAGGAATCGTTTAGAGGTTTTGAGTGGGGCTGTTAAGACTGAAGGACTGCTTCCGGCCAAAGGTCCCGGGCAAAGGAGGAAGGTGTGGCTGCCGGCTGTGGAAGTGCCCGGCCGTTTAGCCCCGGGGCACTGCAGTGGGGCGTTCAGGTAACTACAGGGGCGGGGCTGTGCTACGCGTGAGGGATAGAGCCCCGCCTCACGTCTCAGAGCCACGTCGGGCACTGGGGAGCCTACCGCACCACCCTCTGCAGAGCAGCATCCGAGGTGCCCCAGCCCTCCTCAGTCGGCCCGTCCTCATTCAGGATAGGTTGATACTTGAGGCCACATTAATCCCCTCTCTCACTTCGGTGATGTGTCCACAATCCGTCTCCACTGTCCTACGGACAGTAACGACAGTGAGTTCCTGGAATGACTCAAGCCAAGTTCCTGGAGTGTGGAGAGGCTCCGGGAATCAGGGATTGGACTGGATTGTCTCCCGGGTCACATATTGTGCTATATTTGAACAAGTTCATGCACGACCCTCACTATTTTGCACATGTAATTACAATCTGCTTTCTTCTTTTTGTCTACGTCTATCACCAACCTCCCAGCCAACATCATTTCCTGCCTGAACTTCCACCCTTGTCTCTTTACAGTCTATCCCACTTCTGCTGTCTCTCTACAGTCTATTCACACAGCAATCAGATTGATCATTTTGCATTGTAAGTCTTGTCATGTTAAATGCTTAACATTCTTCAATATCTTGTCTTTCACTTAGAATAAAATTCAAACTTCTGGATCTGGGCGTTTGACTTAGTGGTAGACCATTGCCTAGCATGGGAGAGATCTCCCCACAAAAGAAAAATTAACCAAACTTCTTAGGTTGATCAAAACTTTGGTTTGGCTTCCACCTCATTCTCTTTACATGTCTCTTTTCAGTATCAATAATATTCAGAACAAACGATATAACATTTTTTTTTAGTGTTCAGAGCATTAATTTTGTCATGAGCCTTTCTGTATTTGAATCCTAGCCCTGCCACAAGTAAGCAGTATTAAGTATGTAAAGTGCTTCACAAATTGTTTAAGCAGTAGATGCTCAATATTTGGTTCCCATCTCAGTAAATAGCATCACAATCCACTGGATTGTTCAGGCTCAAACCAGAAATCTGAGAGTTGTCATTGACTCCTCTTTGACCTCATATCCTCACCACCACAAGGCCTGCAAAAACAACCCTCAGCTGATTACTTCTCACTATTTCCTATATTACTACTCTAATCCAAGCCACCTCATCTGTTGTCTGGACTGTTTTGTTTTTTTTAAATTTTGTGCTGGGGTCTAGCCCAGGGCCTTGTTTATGCACTCTATCATTGAGCTACATGCCTGCTTTTCCCCCAACACCTTTTAATTCCATTCTTCACACAGCAATAAGCTTTTTCTTTTTTTTTTTTTAAGTCCTACAGTAGTTTCCTGTTGCATTCAAATTAACATTCAAGCTGCATACAGTCCACTAAGCTAGCTTGCTTTTATCTTCAGATTTAGGAGCACCTCTTAGGAAAATGGATTTTACCTATTAGGTTCTCCACCCTGCAACAGGACTTTTCTAAAGTACAAATCTGATTTGCCATTCTATAAAAACCCTCCAAAGGCTGCTTTATATTTATTTTTTGTCCGTGTGAGTGTGTGTGTCTGTGGTACTGGGGATTGAACCCAGTGGAACTCTATGACTGAGCTACATCCCCAGACCTCTTTATTTTTTACAGGGTCTCACTAAATTGCTGAGGCTGCCCTCAAACTTAGGCTCCAGCCTTAACCTCTTGAGTTGCTGGGAATATACGTGTGTGCCACCGTGCCCAGCTAACCAAAGTCTTCTTACTGCACCCAGGATCAAGCTAGAGTCCTAACTAGGCCTTTGTGATTTGGTTCTGCTTCCCCCCAACCCAACCATGCCTGACCATGACATTTTATTTTCTATAGTAATTCATTGCCTTAACTCATATTTCCTTACATCTCGTAATTCTAGTTTGTTTATTTCTTAAGGCCCAGCACATTGCTTTCTCTTTGAAGTGCCCCCGTCCGTGCCCCATTCCAGTTGATTATCCCCACTTCTGTGTTCACATGGCACTCTATAACCTCTGTTACAGTATTTCACACACTCAGGGCATATCTTCGCTGTGCTCCCTCTCTATATGGCTGGCATTGAAAACATACAGGATGCCATGAATGGAAGGATAGATTTGTGGAGATGGTGTAAAATCTCTCTTTGGGAAGGGACAGTCACTACATAGAGGCACAGCATCTTCTGTCTGTGAGGACTCATGATAAAATTAAGCAGGCAATTATCAAAACTGCTATTCCTGGATGATATTTTATTTGACCAGACTTGGCAGAGAAAGTGTTTGTTTTAAATTCTTAAGAGCTCTGGACAGGGCACACAGTCGACAACATTCTCCAAATATCTCACTTAATATATCTCAATAATTCTACTCACTTTGCCACCCACCATTCTGGTTTCTAAAGGCATTTTTCTTTGGATCACCTAACTAGAGTCCAGTACTTCAATTTGGAAGGAACTTTAGAGGTCATCTGGTCCCATGGTTTACAAACATGGGACATATAAGAATTACACTTAGAGCATTTCAAAATTTTGTACTTCCTCATAGAAATTCTCATTCAGTAGATCCTAGGTCAGGCCTGGACATCAGATTCTGATATGCCCTACCTGGTTGAGTCTAATCTCCTCATTTTAAAATGGGAAAAGAGGCCCAGAAAGGGTCTAAATTATAACCTGCCCATCATTTCTGCCATCGTCTCTTGCCCTAGTTGTCAGCAATAGCATCTCAGTATCCTAGTTGGTCTCTTTGCCCCTTCGGTACATTTTCTACAAAAGGAGCTAGAGTGAGTCTTTTTAAATGCAAAAGAGATAATGACCTTCCCTTGCCTATTCAGTGGATTTCTATTGCATTCAGAATAAAATATCAACTCCTTACTACAGCATATTTGAATGGTCTGGTTCTCCACCTTTGTCATAGACTAGGAATCATACAAATCTTCAGTTCCTGAATACCTCAAGCTCTTTCCTGATTTTGAGATTTTAATGATGCTATGTCCTTTGCTAGACTCTCCTTTCCCCCTGTTTTTCATGGAAATCTCAGTTTAAATGCCATCTTCTCAGTGAGGCCATGCCTAACCACCCTTTGTAAATATTATCTTCCCCTTTTATTCCCTGTCATAGTTTGTTTCCTTCATAGCACTTAACCACACTATAATTTTCTTATTTATCTGTTTACTTATTGTTTGTCTCCCATCATGTTTTATATTTCCTAAGGGTAGAGACCTTCACTCTGTTCATCTTGCTGCTTGGCACCTGTAAACATTTATTAAATGAATCTTAACTAAGCCAGATGGCACAAAAGCTTTGAAGAGCTCATTTTGGTGGAATTTTAAGCAGGACTGTGGAGTGGTGGATACAGCACTAATCTGAGTCATCCCCTTCCGCAGGGCTCATTTTCTCTATCCATAAAACAATCTGGATAAATAATTCCTTGAATTTTTATACTTCATTGTTACTTGCAAAGCTCTTTCATCACCTATCTTAATCTATTATCATAGCAGGTAAAATAGATCTTGTTATTCCCATTTTTACTGAGGCTGGAAAGTTTAAGTAAACCAGATTATCTGTAAAATCCCTTCTGCTTCAAACATTCTATGAGTCTGTGGAAGTAGTCTACTACTGACAAAAAGTCAGTAGCATGAATCCTATCTTCTTTTCACTTTAACATCGTAATTTCCTCATAGGATTTTTAAAAATCTGAACCCATCTTTAAAGGGGAAGTTCATTATCTTTAGGTCCTGATAGATACTCCATTTTTGTCTTCTCAGTTTTCCACACTTGTGGCAAAACAAGCTTCAAGAAAGAACATTGGCATTCCTGTTAGTTGTGGCCCAGTCCTCATCACCTGGAAATGGCAAACAAGGGGAACAAGAAGCGTCGGCAGTTCTCCCTGGAGGAGAAAATGAAAGTTGTACAAGCTGTTGACTCAGGCAAAAGAAAAGGTGATGTGGCAAAAGAATTTGGTATCACTCCTTCTACATTATCTACATTCTTAAAGGATAGAGCCAAATTTGAAGAAAAAGTGCGAAAAGCATCTGTGGGGCCCCAAAGGAAAAGGATGAGAAATGCTCTCTATGATGACATCGATAAGGCTGTTTTTGCTTGGTTTCAAGAAATCCATGCCAAAAACATTCTCGTGACTGGTTCTGTGATTCGGAAAAAAGCACTAAACTTGGCCAACATGCTTGGCTATGACAATTTTCAAGCAAGTGTGGGTTGGCTGAACAGATTTAGAGATCGCCATGGAATTGCTTTGAACGCTGTCTGTAGAGAGGATGGTGACAGGTTAATGAATGGTCTAGGAATAGATAAAGTTAACGAGTGGCATGCAGGGGAAATTATAAAGCTAATTGCTGACTACAGCCCAGATGATATATTCAATGCTGATGAGGCAGGAGTGTTTTTCCAGTTGCTTCCCCAGCACACACTTGCTGCTAAAGGGGACCATTGTAGAGGGGGCAAGAAAGCAAAGCAGCGGTTGACAGCACTCTTTTGTTGCAATGCCTCAGGGACTGAAAAAATGAGACCATTGATTGTTGGTAGGTCACCCAGCCCACACTGCTTCAAGAATGTCCATTCCCTGCCTTGTGATTACCGAGCCAACCAGTGGGCATTGATGACGCAGGACCTGTTTAATGAGTGGCTGATGCAAGTGGATGCCAGGATGAAGAGGGCAGAACGCCGGATCCTCCTGCTTATTGACAACTGTTCTGCTCACAACATGCTTCCACGCTTAGAAAGGATTCAGGTGGGATATCTGCCCTCAAATTGTACTGCTGTCCTGCAGCCACTGAATCTTGGCATAATTCACACCATGAAAATGCTATATAGGAGTCATCTTCTAAAACAGATCCTCTTCAAGCTCAGTGGCAATAAAGATCAAGAAAAAGTGGACATCAAGCAGGCCATTGACATGATTGCTGCAGCATGGTGGTCAGTCAAGCAGCCCACAGTGGTGAAATGTTGGCAGAAAGCGGGCATCATCCCTATGGAATTTACAGATTCTGATGCAGAAATGGTAGCCAAAGAACCAGACATTGCTATTGAAAAGTTGTGGCACTCAGTGGCTGTTGCCACATGTGTCCCAAATGAAGTAAATTTCCAGGACTTTGTCACTGCTGATGATAATCTCATCATCTCTCAAGAGCTAGTGGACACAGAGATCATCCAGGGTATGGTGACTGGCAAAAATACTGCTGAAGCTGGAAGTGAAGATGAGGAAGAGGATGTTTCTTTACCAGAGCAGCCAAAAATCACTATCACAGAAGCCATCTCAAGTGTACAGAAACTTAGACAGTTCCTTTCCACTTGTGCAGGGGTTCCTGATGCTATTTTTGGGCAACTAAATGGAATAGATGAATATTTAATGAAAAAAGTGACACAAAGTCTTACTGATTCCCAAATTACAGATTTTCTCCAAGCAAAATAATGTAGGAATTAACTGCCTCTTTTACTTTGGAAAATATTTTTCAAGAATAAAGATTTCTTTAGATAGAATATTGAACTAATTTAAGTAAAGCAATATTATTATGATAATTTTTCAGTACTCAGAGATAATAAGGAAACTTGAACAGAATTTGGGAATGAAATTTGACTAATATGTGTGTTCCCTTTTGGTTAATACATTGGTTTTCAAATTTTGCTGCACCTTAGGAGCACTTGAGGATCTTCTAATAATTCCAAAGCCCAAGCCATATCCCAGAGGAGTTAAATCACAGTCTCTGTTGATGGGTCACAGGCATTTAGTAGTTTTGAATTTCCCCAGATGATTCCAATGTACAGACAAGTTTGGAACTACTGAAATAACCACAGGAAAATCAAGTGCATTATGGACACAGAGTCAACTACTTCCCAACAAGTCTAGATCAGTGGTTTCTAGAGTTTAGCTCACATCAGAATCACTTCTACTCTCAAAATTTTGGATTCAGTAGGTCTCAGAGGGAACCCAAGAACTTGCATTTCTAGTAAGTCCTCACCTGATGATCCAAGGTCCATACTTAAAGAACCACTGACATAGCTGGATTCTAGTACCTCCTCTTCAGATGGCCTTCTCAATACTCTCCATTGCTGTATAAAAAGAAAAGTGTCAGCTGTTCTTACTCCAAGGCTGTTTAGCTCCTTCTTTTCTGCTGATTTGTTAACTCTAGAACTTTCTTAGCTATCCTCTTGATGCCCCAAAAGTTATCCAGGTTTTCAGTAGAGGTACATATGTTTGTGCCCAAGGAATTAACAGGAGCCATCTAGCTCATTAAAATATCCATAGTGCTTTAAACATATAATTATTAGGAAGCTGGAGTATAGGGAAATAAAGAGCATAAAAGGGACATGGATATGCTCTGAGACAGAAGGTATAATAAAGAGAATCCTGTTAATCAGGATCATGTGCCTCTCACTTTCTAGACAGGATGAAAGGGGAGTTTGTTAGATAACTCCTATGGGGGTGTTTGGATCACACCCTGATTTGGATTTTTTTCACTGTTCTTTTTTTTTTTTTTTTGTAGTTGTAGATGGGCAGAATGCCTTTATTTTGTTTGTTTATTTTTATGTGGTACTGAGGATCAAACCTAGTGCCTCATGCATGCTAGGCAAGCCCTCTACCACTGAGCTACAGCCCCAGTCCCTCACTCTTCTCAATCCAGTCTGTACCGTATAATCAAAATGAAGGCACATTACGTTTTCCCTCTACTAAAATTGTTCCATAAATTGCCTTTTTCCATTTGTGCTTGTTCTTCAGAGAAATCAAAGTTTATTCTGAGTTATTTAAAATTACATGAATTTATAATCAGATTTATATTAAAGTTTCTTCCCTATAGAGAAGGCATTCTTTTTTCTTCTTTGCAGGACTAGGGATCAAACCTAGGGCTTGTCAGGCAAGTGCTCTACCACTGAGCCACATCCCCAGCCCTAGAGAAGGCATTCTTAATATTCTTTATAATTCTAGAATATACTCCTGGTAAACCAGACAAATAAAATTTCATTTCTAGAGGGTACACACAGAACCTGTTAATGTTGTGGTGGTGGGTTTTTTTTAAACCTGCCCCCACCCTGAATGATTTTGTAGATATTTCAGAAACCCACAGGAATTCATTTTTCTTTCTGCAGTTAATTGAAACACATAAAGCAGATTAATCATAGAAAGTATTGCTTCTACAGTGAACAAAACAACAATCATGAAAAAATATTTGTTTATATAGATTTTTAAAGCTTATTTTGGATATTTTTCCTTTCAACAAATTAGTATGAGAATTTAAAAGTATTGTACATGTTTTAAATTAACACTTAGAAAAGGGAAACAATGTCTTCTAGCCAAATCCTGTGGTTATATCTCATCCTTAGCTCCTTAATTGCCCTCATCATCTTCTTGTATCAGGATTACAGACACGTTTCCTAATCCTTTCCCTCACCTCCTGCAGTCCCTTTCTGCACATATTGTTAGGTCTGTTGGCATCAAGCCATTTACTTTGCCTAAGTGTTTGTGTTGGCTCTAAAATGTCTACAAAAATGAAAGACCAGATTTTTCAGCTGAGTGTTATTTCCCTAGGTAGTTGACTGCAATTTCCAACTTGGTTGTGCAGCACAATGTGCACCTTGCTGCCTAAACAGGCCTTGTCATCATTCATTTCATACACATTGCTGCTTCTATGCCTTTACTAGAATGCCTTGCCCTGCTCTCTATCAAGCTAGGCCATACACATTCTCCAAGAACTAACTTGAGCCTAGCGTGGTGGTGTAGGCCTATAATGCCAGCTACCCAGAAGGCTAAGCCAAGAGGATTCCAAATTCAAGACCAACCTAAGCAATTTAGCAAGACCCTGTGTCTAGCCACGCATGGTGCACGCCTGTAATCCCAGTGACTCAGGAGGCTGAGGTGGGATCATAAGTTTGAGGGTAGCCTCAGCAGTTTAGTGAGACCCTATCTCAAAAAATAAAAAGCTGAGAAGGGGGCTGGGTTTGTGGCTCAGCAGTAGAGTGCTTGCCTTGCACATATGAAGCACTGGGTTTGATCCTCAGCACCACATAAAATGAAATAAAGGTATTTTGTCCATCTGCAACTAAAAAAGCTGGGGATGTAACTCAGTAGTAAAGTACCCCTCGGTTCAATTTCCAGAACTACCCCTCCCCCAAAAAAAGACTGTCTCAAAGTACCTTGGGTTCAATCTGCTGTGCCACAGGGGAAAAGGAAAAAAAGTAGAATCCTTTTTCTTGAAGACACCAGCACATATTCTATGCTTTTCCCTCATCCCATAGTGGTAGAGATTCATTGTCTCTACCACTCAGTTAAGCACTTAAATGTTTTCTCAATGTTCTGTGACTCTTTGATTAGACTGTAAGTCCCATGAGAGCAGAGACCAGTTAGCCTTTATAATGGTGCCTAACACGGTGCTAGGTACATCTTAGGCATATCAATAAACCTTGAAGTAGAAATCAATACACATGTAATATGTCAAAGCTACCTTGTTTTTTAAAGCAGCATTGATTATATAAGAAAATGGCTTGGGAAAAGGGAGTGATGTATTCTATATGAAAGGATTTACAAAATTTTTCTGTATCATCACCTCAAATACAATTCCAATCCAAGTCATAATCTGGTTTTTGATAATGAAGAAGTCTCTTATATGGAGTTAAACCTGTGTCTTTCCACCAAAAAAAAAAAAAAAAAACCACTGCAGGATTTTATTTTATTTTCTCTCCCCTCTATTTGTACACAGAGAACTTTCTTTAGAAAGGCCTTATCTAAGTGGATGCTAATCCATAATGATGGGGGGCATGGGATGAGTGGAGGAACTTTGGGTGTGGCAAAGGAGGGGACAAGGGAGTAGAAAAGATGGTGGAATGAGATGGACATCATTATCCTAAGTACACATATGATTGTATGAATGGTGTGGCTCTACTTCATGTACAAACAGAGAAGCGAAAAATTGTGCTCGATTTGTGTACAATGAATCAAAGAGCTTTCTACAGTCATGTTTAACTGATTAGAACTTATTTAAAAAGGCCTTAGATAGAATAGATGTTCAGGACATATGTGCTTAAACTTTTTTCACAAAAAGGAAATCTAGCATTCTTGATTTACTTAACATCATGATATAGATCTAGGAGATGAAAATCATATCCCAGAGTCCTTTGCAGTCTAATTTACATTGGCTAAGGTTTTGATTCTAGTGGATATTAGGGTTTTTGGCTTGGTACTTTGTTTTTTAGATTAAAAGTGGTTGATAGTATCCCTTCTTGGCCTGTTCTCATTAGACCCTCTGTGGCTTCTCCCTGAATCTCTGGTCAAGCTAGCTCCATTTGAGTAACAATTACATTTCTGCCCCGGTTGATTAACCCTCTCCATAAGCCAGTATGCAAGAACTCAGTACCTACCTCAATTGTGTTGTCATGAGGATTAAAAGATGTGTCAGGGGGCTGAGGATGTGGCTCAAATGGTAGCGTGCTGGCCTAGCATGCGTGAGGCACTGTGTTAGTTTCTCAGCACCACATAAAAACAAAATAAAGATATTGTGTCCACCTAGAACTAAAAAATAAATAACAACAAAAAAAGTGTTAAAGACTAAGTGTTCTTTAAATGCTACCTATAGTCATTACTATCTATTCCTATTTGGAACTTAACCATCATATAGAATCAGAGATTGGTTTAATCAATCCTTTCTTCCATTAGCAGTTCTTGGGTTCAGTGTTCCAGATGATAACTCCCAAGAGTTTTCTTTGTAACTCAAGAAGGGCACTTTCATTCAAAAGGAAGAAAATTTAAGATTGCTTTCCGATCATGCATTTTTTCACTTATCATTTAATTTTTCTAAAAAAAAAAAAATATATATATATATATATATATAGAGAGAGAGAGAGAGAGAGAGAGAGAGAGAGAGAGAGAGTACAAAAGCACAAATAGGCTCAGATAATTTAGTTCCAAGGTTACAGACCTGTTCATGTTAACTGTTCATGCTGAGGCCTTATTTCTTGGAATTTCAACCACCAGAGGGCACAGGTGGGTGACATAAAGGAAACAGTCAACTGAAGAAACCCTAAGAGCAGCCACTTGTAAATTCTGTGATGTGATAGAGATTGAGAGGGAAGACAAGGAAAAGGGGAAGAGACATAGGATGTGAGACTTGTTCAAGCAACCAACCAGGAACGAACTGCCTAGGACCACAAAATCTACCTCATCACACATCTTTTCACTAGAGACTTTTTCCAACCTATTGATACCACAGACCATGTTGACTCTGGACAGCTAGATATACTCTAGAAATGAGCCAGTGTTATAGGAATAATTATCCACCAAGCATATCCATGTTTGAAATAATAATTTATTGGACCTTATAATGTAGCCATCACTGGCCATAGGAGCTCTAAGAATTCTACCCTCAAGAATTTCAGCGGGGCACAGTGGCACTTGCCTATAGTCCCAGCTACTTGGGAGGCTTCAGGATTTCAAGGATGGTCTGGGCAACTTAGGAGAACCCTGTCTCAAAATAAAAGGAAAGGTCTGAGGATGTAGCTCAGCATTGGAGCATTTGCACTGCATGTGTGAGGCTTTCATTTTAAGCCCTGTTTACAAAACAAACAACAACAAAAGATAGAAGAGGGAAAAAATGAGTAGTAAATGTCATTCTTAGTGAATAAGCATAGACTAAATAGAGAAGTACAGAGATGGAGTCCAAAGGAGCCCCTAAAGGAGAGGAGTTCTGTAGAAATGTTGCCAAGAGCAAAGGATACTTGTTAAAAAATATCTAGGAGGAGGACTAGGGAGTTAGGTTGATGAAGCCAGGAGGCATCTCCTGGCAGAACAGCGTAAAAGACAGGTATTATTTAGTAAATGGCCTGTTGGGGAAACCTAAGGTCAGTAGTTGGTATGTCAACCAAAGAATGTGTGATAGGACAAGAGGCTAGAGGTGTAAGTAAGGGCAGTTTTAAAGGTCTTGTCAGCTAGAATATTAATCTTTTATTTATCCTGAAAACACAAATAGCAAGGGTCAGGTGTTTGTTTTTAATATAGTAATTAGAGGCTGGATTGCAGAGAAGCAGATAGTTATTTAGGCTGTGGCACTGTCTTGAGAAATAATGAAAATTGAGAGCAAGAACAAGATGTTAGATTTGATAGACACTTACAAGGTAGGTGGATTTGGTGTGGGAGTTAAATAGAGAAATTCCCAGGTTTCTAGCTTAAGTAGCTGGGTCATGCCATGATTACAATAGGTTAACAGGGTTAGAGGTATAGCTCAGTGGTATAGCACTTACTTAGCATGTGTAAAGTCCTAGGTTTGGGTCCCAGCACCAAGGAGAAAAAAAAAAGGTAGGTTAACAGAAGGGAAGACAAGTTTGTTTGGAAGACATGTTGCATGTGAGATAGCTCTAGGCATCCCAGCTGAGCTGTCCGATAACAAGATTTATATATAGATAAGCTGGTTGGCATTCTAGAAAGATCAGGCTAGAAATCTTTTTTCAGCTGCTACTAGCTCAGAAAGTAAGATGAGTGGAGCCATAGATGTGGAAGTTTATAAGCCATCCTTTTTATAGTTATGTGTGCATACCTGCACATGTGAATATTTCTCCAAGAGTCACACTTTCATCAGTCTCAACTGGATCTGAAAAGAACAAATTTAAGCAATGGTTCTAAATGAAGAGGCCATGGATACAAACGTTGAAAGGGCAGATGGGGGAAGCAGAGCTCTCCAGGGTAGCCAAAGAAGATGCTAGAGAATGACTGTGAGTGCATTTGACAGGTCTCAGAATGCCAGTGCTGTCTGCAGACACGGAGAGTACACAAAATGTAGAGTCCAATTCCTTCACTCTGTGAGATGGGAATAAGGTCAAGATCAGAATGCCTCCTGCAAAAGGAGGACTAAAAACCATCCTTAGCCCTGTCCCCACAACCCCACTTCAGAGAGATGAAAAAGAAAAAAAAAAAACAATGGTGAGTATCACCCAGAAGAGGCCTCATGGCAGGTACCGGGGAGGGTGGTGGTACAGTCTCCTTCACAATGCACGTTCCAGTTAGGAGTGCCACTCTCAGTTCTCTCACTTAATCATCATGTGTTAGCCTCAGTTTGCTGATAGGGAAAATGTGGACCAAAGATCACCTTTTCAAGTTCAGAAAGAACAATAGTAAAATATTAGTCAGATTTGGGTTTTCTGATTCTAGCATGATACGGAATAGGAGTCAAGAAATATGAGAACTCCAAGTGTCCTCAAGCAAATCTAGTCCTCCTTCCTCTTCACTTATGGAAAACAGAGTCCCCAAAGGAAAAGAATTTGGTTTCTTTATGTTTTATGTCCTTCTATAATGACAGATACTATCGTTATAGTCGGGAAAAATTACTGAGTAAATCATTTTCCAAATATAAACAGACTGTATTATAAAATCCACTGGTGCCTAAATATTTCTTGGCAGATTCCCAACCCCACACAAAAGTAACTAGAGTAATATTTATTATAGTAACAATTTATTAGTATACAAAAGAAATAACACCTCTGGACCTCAATACACATAATCTTACATTAAAAAAAAAAAAAGGCAAACATCCTTCCAGCAGAAAAAGACCTTTCTATTAACCAACTCCCCTCCTTTCCAATAGGCTATAATACATTATTGACTCATCCTTGTCCCATAAGGGGATTAAACAATGACTTATGAGGAATAACATCAAGGCACTCACTTCAATTAAAAATATGTAGTATAAACATATTCCTAAAAGTCATCAGTCTTAATATAATTAAAGGGGGAAAAGACAGTATACTTTTTTTGGAGAATAGACAAGATGGAGTTCATTCACCTGTTAAATTGATATTGTCTTGATTTGCATACAAAAGTTGCAAAGGTAGCCCATTTTGGTATTTTCACATACACATTTCTGAGAAACAGAAGCCATGGCAACATCAGGACTCAAATCATAATTTTCCAATTGATTTGCATTGAAAAGGCAAGAGCTATTTGATTCCAGGTATCTCATTTGAGGGATGGGGTATTGGATAAGGAAGAGAGAATTCCCCAAATAAGTTCATTAAAACTTAAGGTAAAAACCCATTCTAGCACAGACTTACAAACAGCATCTCTAATTTTAAAAAGACATTTGGTGGTGTTCTTCGTGATTCAGTCTTCATAATTCAATATTCTTCTATTTTACACAAAGTTTAAAAAAAAATAAAGACATACACACTGAAGAATGTTTAGTGTAATGTTTACTTTCTTAACAATACTTAACATGTTTCCTTTAAAACTGAGTTGCAAATTAAAAATTGTTTATTAGGATAAAAATATTTATAAAAATAAATCTTCCTCACTCCTACATCTAAATTCTCCATTTCTAAGTTACTTATTTTCTTTTTTTAACCTTGAAAATTGGGCTGGGTGGCTGGGGCTGAGCGTTACGGCACTCCTCTCTCATGTCTGAGGCCCTGGGTTCGATCCTTAGCACCATATAAGTAAAATAAAAAGGTATTGTGTCCATCTACAGATATATAGGCTATAACAACAAACCAGCTGGTTTGTTATTTTGTCCTATTCCATCTACCTTTTATTATTGTAATTCATGGCAATCTAAAATCTTTCTGCAAAAGTGGGGGAGGGGTGTGGTGGCACAAACCTGTAATCTTAACAGCTAGGGAGGCTAAAGCAGGAAGATCCCAAGTTCAAAGCCAGCCTCAGCAATTTAGTGAGGCCCTAAGCAACTCAGCAAGACCCTGTCTCAAAACAAATAAAAAGGGATAGGGATGTGTGGCTTAGTGTTTAAGTGCCACTAGGTTCAATCCCTGGTTACCTTCTCTCCCCACCACCACCAAAAAGGGGTGGGGGGCAAATTAGTTCAAAGCTTAAGTGTTCTAGTTCCCATTTCATCCTTTTTTTCAGTTTTTAAGCCCAGTTTTAAATAAGGCATCACTAGAATAAAAAACAAGGGGGGGGGGCCCACTAAAGAACAGAAAAATTGAGCAAAATCTAATTCCTATCAACTGGATTTTTACCATTTCCCTGTGGAATCTTCCTTTGAATAAACCAGGGGTATCACTGGCTCCTGCTCAACTCTCAGTCAAGCTTCAACTCAACACTCTTCTACAAAGCACATCCCCTAAGGGTCCCAGTTAGTGATTGATTGATTGAGAGAGAATTTTATTATTTATTTATTTTTTTAGTTTTCGGCGGACACAACATCTTTGTTTGTATGTGGTGCTGAGGATCGAACCCAGGCCGCACATATGCCAGGAGCGCGCTACCGCTTGAGCCACATTCCCAGCCCCCCAGTGTGTTATTTATTGAGTACCATAGTACCAGTACCTGGCCCAGGGTCCCTGACTCCTGGGTAGGTCCTCAAATATACAAGGTAATGTCTACATTAAGGTAAAGAGAACCCACAGTCCAACTCTAACAACACATAGAGGAAAACAATTCATTAAGAAGGGTCACAGAACGTGAGTTTATCACTGTAACTTGGAGACTGAATTTAAGTTCCCAAGAAATGCACTTCATCCCTTTTCTTACTTTTAAGATCAGGGCTAAGCCTGACAATATGGTAGTTTTCTTATTTGGTATGGAGGATTGAATCTTGGAGTATTTTACCACTGAGCCATATCCCTAGTCCTTTGTATTTTTGAGACAGGGTCTAAGTTTTCAAGGCTCGCCTTAAATTTGAGATCCTCCTGCCAAAGCCTCCTAACCTGGGATTACTAGATGTGCCACCCACCCAGTTGACAGTGTGTTCTTCAATAACAAATTACTAAGAGAATACCCCTGCACAGAATTATTTTTCTTATTAAAATGTAGCCATTAATATTATAAGTCTAATAATGCACAACAATTCCATACATTTTTAAAGTTCACTGTTTACCATATTATAAATCTAACAATAAATTTTTATAATCAATGTCTCTATCATTTAAAAGCTAAGCCAACTGTCAATCAAAAACACCTTGCCAGGCATAATGGGACACATCTGTAATCCCAGCAAGTCAGCAGCCTGAAGCAGGAAGACTGCAAGTTTAAAGCCAGCCTCAGCAACTTAGTGAGGCCCTAAGCAACTTTTTTTTTTTTTCTTTTCTTTTTTGAGAAACCCTCTCAAAAAAAGGGCTGGGGATGTGGCTCAGTAGTTAAGCATCCATAGGTTCAATTCCCAGTACAAACAAACAAACAAACAAAACCCTCCTTTTCTTTTTGTTCTACTTTAAAAAGATCAATTAGACATGTCAATCTTATTACCATATCAGAATCACATAGAATACTGGAGTCACATAGTTTAGAGGGAAGACAGTGCTCTAGAATAGTTCAAACCAGCTCTTTCAGCTTTGGTGAATCTGACTATTCCCTTCTGAAAACAGAAACCAGTTCTGACCTTGCTCTCAGAGGTGTGCTACCTAATCCTAATCCACTATTGTGTGGAGTTTACCAGGAATTGGATTCTGTTCAATTGGGTCCCTTCCTTGTCTCCCTTTATAGGTCAGTCTCTTCAGTGATTATTCCCTGCATTGTTTTCCTTGCACATATGTCTATTCCTGCATTGACAGACTCTACCCTTCTGTTGTAACAAATTTTAAAAATCAGGTTATAAGAGTTTTAACTATCCAAATTGTATGCACAGTCTATAGTTCAATGAAATGATAACCATTTAGATAGAGTTTATATATTTATCAATAAGTAACAAGAAAATGCTTCACTTAGACTCTCACATTTAGAATAAGCAAAATAATTTTGTATCAAAGCAATTTTAAAAATATCAAAAAGCAGCCAGGATGGTAGTAAAAACTGTCTTTAAAATAAAAAGGGCTGGGGATGTAGGTCAGCGATAGAACCCCCGGGTTCAATCCCCAGTACAAAACAAAACAAAAAATACACACACACACACACACTAGTTTTTGGTTGTAGTGACGATGGCAAATTAGCCTTTGGTTCCAAAGAGATGTTAAAAATTTTTAAGTTTACATAGACCTCAAGTCCAAGTAAAGAATGAAACAACTCCAGTGAAATCTTAAAATATCCTTATAATTGCCTACTAAAAGCAGAATCTCTTGTTTACTCTTATTTATCTTGGTAGGACAGGTGCAAATCAGAACATTATTCAAGAATAATGCTCACTGCTTATTTAAAGATCCCAAACTGTTCATATCCACATTGGTAAAAGTTTAGGCAATGCACAAACAATGTCATTCATCCTAAGAAATTTTCCAGATTCTGACCAAAATGAAATTCTTTGGCTATGCTGGTACTGGATTATAGAGTTGTTGTAAACATGTACTCATTACTCTGTCAGAGTGTTTGACATCTATAATATTCTCAATTCAAACCTGGCTTGGGGAAGGGACAAGAAGGGACAAAAAGCAATTGACCAAGACACGGGTTTTGACAATTATTATTCATAAGGCTGGATAGAAAGGGCAAACATCAGGGAGCAAAAGTTCTAAAAGGATGTCAAAATTCAGAACATTACATCTAATCATAACATTAATCACCTAGAAGATAGAAATCTAGACTTTGTACTCAGAAACTGCTCTGTCAAGATAATGGAAAGGTATTTTTCCATGTAAACAAATGGGAGAGTCCTATAATAGACAAGCAACACTGGCAGTTTATGGAGCAAACAGAAATACCAAAAAAAAAAAAAAAAAAAGAAAGAAAATATATATATGTATGTGTCAAGTAAGTACAAATATAGTATGTTTAAAAGCATCCCACCTCAATAGGAGCCCTGTATATAAGGCTTGATTATAATATCTAAAATTATTTAGAACATAGAAGCAGGCTAAAAAAATTATTTTGCACTTCTTTTAAAAGACTTGGCTAAATGTTTAAATCTCACATAAATTAATCCCCTATTCCTAACTTTGGAGAACCTGCTTTTTTCTTGCCTTTGAAGGTCCAGATATAGAATTATAAGCTTTCAATGTCAGATATTCTTGATTTTCTAAAGAAACCATTTCTCAACTCGCAACTTGTGGCCAATGATCAGAAACAATACATCCATACTTGGGTTTTTACAAATGTGCTTCTAAATTATTTTGTGTAATAGTTTTAGGCGACTTGAGTTAAAAGCTGTCACTGTCATCAATATTTACTGTACATCAACAGACATCTATGGCAGTAAGCACCAGCACTGTTTTCACTAAAACATATACAAATTAATTATTGATGTCCTTTTGGAAGCACTCTTGCCACTCTTGTGCATTCTTTTCCAGAGCAGCAGCTTATATTTAAGAAAGACTATCTAGTCCCCAGCAGACCCTTGCTAAAATGATATGAGGGGGGAGGGATATAAAATTTACTGCCAAATAAACTAATTCTTAAGGGAAACTGTCAGCCATTCTTTTTTGCCATCTGTCCTTGACGGTCTGCCCAAAGCTCATTTAAAATACTGTAAGGCCAGGAATGGTGGTGTATGCCTATAATCCCAGTGACTCAGGAGGCTGAGGCAGAAAGATCACAAGTTCCAGGCCAGCCTTAGCAACACAGTGAGACCCTGTATCCAAAAAGAGAAAAAAAAAAAAAAAAAGAGCTGGGAATGTGGCTCAGTCATTAAGAACTCTTAGATTCAGTCGCCAGTAGCAAATTAAAATACTTTAGAAAAGGCAAAATCAGCTCCTGCTTTATCTGACATGACTGAAACTGATATTCAGAAATGCCAGCTTAGGACAGATTCCATGGGAAAACACACTAGGATAACTTAATGCTGAAACAGAGCTTAATGGTAGATAAATGGTCAGATAAAGACCACAGAAAAGAGAATTCCCAATGCAGAACATTTCTAATTTTGACAAACTCTTTGCTGAACTACTGACCTTAAACAAAAAGCTATGACTAAAACATTAAATATATTACCAAGGTTATTCTGTAAAATGTTAGTATGTCACAAACCTGCTGGCCATCAGACTCCTAATGAGACTGTGCCTACAGTTCCCTGCCTTAAGGATAGGACTGGTTCTCTCCTACTGAAATCCAGAGATCCTACTGCTATCTGGGGAACAAAGACTGGGAATAGAGAAGCACAAGAACGAGCTTGTCTAGTTAGGACCTCATGCTTCACAAGCCCCTTATGCTGCTCGTTCAAGGGCAGGTTCAACACTCTCCCTGACTTCTTCTCCTTTCTGTCTACAGAGCCATACAAAGGCACAAATATTTCTAATGCAAATCCCAACTTCACTCCTTTTCTGCCTGGAGGAGAAAGAGTCCAAATGTATAGCCCCTAAAACAAGGTGGTAATAGTCTTGGGACTACTGTACTCTTTAATTCAGTAGATATTTATTGCATCCCCCAAATACTTCATATCTGTATGAAAGCTTGAAACTACAACATTTTCTTCTTTTTAACTTTGCCCAACAATAAGCTCTGCTGCATTTGAGAATATACAAAGGCCATAAACTTCAAAGGAAGAATAATTTCAAGTGTGCAACTTGAAATTATTGGAAAATGTTGCACACTTAAAATCTTAACCTATTGGCTTGACATTCTTCCTTTCAACTACTTTCTCAATCACCGGACAGACTCAGACCATTGAGAACACATATTCCTTTCTGCTTTTGAGATTCTACTGCAAAAGCCACTGCTTCGTACACACTATAGAAAAGAAGGTTTTCTTCTTCCTTTTTGGAATATTCTCCTCTGGCCAAAGAATCCCTCACAGAAGGATTGCACTGAGCCAGCAGAACTTGGATACCAATGGCTTCATAATCTCTGCGAACTTCCTTCAGTGTATGGATCCCTGCTGTATCTAAAAATTGTATTGTACTGCAGTCAATCACTATAGTATGCAGCTCCAAAGGATCATGGGAAAGTTGCATTGAAACTTCATCCTGGATTCCACCGAGAGTCACCGTTTCCTCTTTGAGCTTTATCTTTGCTGCCTTCTTCTGAGCTGCCTTTACCAAGACTGGGTTTAGAGTTTTTTTGTATAAAGCAGATCTGAAGCATTCTTTGTTTATGTAGTACAGCGGAGCTACAAAGCGGAAAATCTTAATGCCTGGCTTAGTCTGAAGGTTCTTGTAAGCAGATATGGATTCAAAGATTTCAGTCTCTTCCACCAAACCAAGCAATGAAATCTTTGGCTTCTGGGTGCGGAGGATGACACAAAACATAGAAAAACAAACTCCAACAAGCAGGCCTATTTCAGTGCTTATCAATGCAGAGGACAGCATAGTAACAAACCATATAACTGTATCCATTCTGCTAACCCTCCACATCTTGGGAACATCTCTAAATTTACAAAGGGCTCCCCGAAGATTTACAATAGTGATCACACCAAGGACACATTTCTGAAGGGAATAGAATAAAGGTGCAATTATCAGTAAAACCAACAAAAGAACAAGGGCTGTCACCACAGCAGAAAGCTGAGTTTGGCAACCTGTTGATTCTTTAACCAATGTCTTTGCAAGAGCAGCGCTAGTAGTAATGCAGTGGAAGAAGGAAGGGATAATATTGCAAAAGCCAATGGCATACATTTCCTGATTTGCTCTGACCGTGTAACCATGTTTCTTGGCAAACATCTCAGAAAGTGATACAGTTATAGCAAAACCAATGATAGAAATAGCTATTGCATCTACTGCCACACTAGGAATTAGGCTCCAATCTGGTGCTTGCGGTGGCATAAACCCAGTGGGAATATGTCCAGCTATACTAGAATTGTAATTCTCATTTAGTTTTCCATAATGAGAGGCTAAAGTGGCCGCCACGACAACAATTAGTTCGGTAGGAATTGGTGCCTTGAGTTTGGACTTGAAGCGCTCATTGAGTTCTTTGGTTGGCAGAAGGACCAAAAGGCACAAAAGGCTGGTGATGAGATCACAGAGATTGGTCTTATGGATGTTTCTGAAGATATGAATCCAGGTAGTGATAAATGAGCCCACGCCACTACTCCGAGGAAGGCTGAGCCCAAGAAGATATTTGGCCTGAGATGTAAGAATAGTGAAGGAGGCACCAGTGACAAATCCACTCAGCAAGGCATCGGAGAGGTAGACAGAAACGAAGCCCACTTGAAAGAAGCCCATTGCAACCTGGAATAGATGATATGTAAGTGTTAAATGGAAACAGAAAAGTGCTTCTCAATTTTCTATTACACTACATTTCTAGAATGGAAACAAACCATCAGAGCATCACAGAAGGTCAGAAATTGAATGAAGGCAATCATGCATCAATCTTTTCATATTACAAGGAGAGGGAACTTGCCCAAGGTCACACTGTCACTCATTAGTCCAAGTGAAGGAGCAACTTTGGATATCTATCTTCCCATACAATGTTTCTTAAACTTGAATAAGGTTCATACTTCTTTTCAAAAGGACATTCTCAAGGGTCCACAAGAAAACATACACACTCAAATTGGAAAAATTCCTCCAATTTAAGAAACCACTTATTTTTCATTAAGTCATAATCATTACTTTAAAAGTGGAGCTATAACTGGTTAAAAAAAATCACATCAAAATAGAATCACACTTTAAAAATTACCGTAGAACTCTTTAATCTAACTTCTGTAAAACTTGTTCTCCATTCAGTATGTATATACTTATACCACACTGCCACCCATATTAATAATAATCTTGTATTTTCACAGTTAACACCTTTTTATTTCTTCCTCTTCCCAGCTCCTCAGAATTCTATCACAACTTTCTAATTCTTGGTGAGACATACTAAAATCAAAGAAAAAGCAGACTCTAAAGAGTATTACTCATCTGTACCTCACCTTCCTTTCCCTATCTCATCCAAACACCAAATTAAGTGAGCCAATCTTCCCCTTTGCCCACTGGTTCCAAACACCTGCATTAGAGAAGAGGTTTAATGTCAGTGCTGACTTATGGATGCTAACAGGCAGGGCATAATGATAACAGCAAATTAGTGGCTACTATGGGAGACCCAAGAATAATTTAATTTTTAATCCTTTCTCCTGGCTGCTATATAGTAGCCCTCAATTTATCCCTTCCTTCCCCAATAACCATGGAGAACTACTGCATTTTAAAATTTTATATTTTTTTGGCACTGATGACTGAACTCAGGGGTACTTTACCACTGAGCTACATTCCCAGCCTGCTGGGAGCCATTAGCCAAGTAGGTATGACAATTTCCTTGCCAGCGTACCCCATGTTGCTGACATGTTGCAGTGACATTGAATGTAGGTGACCTTGCTCAAGGACCAAGGCAGATTAGGGTGTTCCCGGTTTTAAGATAATCGTGTTTAGGGCGTTCCCAGTTTAGGTTCCAGGTTTAAGGTTTAAGATTATTCCTGCTGGGAATAGGGCGTATCCTGCTGCCTGAGTTCCCCTTGAGTTCTCACGGGATTCAGACAGTATATTTTGGAGATAGAAGCCCAGTGGAGGGGGATTTGGGAAGAGAACGTGGATTTCCCCAGAACGTGATTGTAGACGGCTGGTGTGAGTTCGGGAATAAAGAGTTGCTGTTTGAATCTACAAGCTGTGTGGTGGCTCGTGATTGTGTGCCCAGCCAGACTGCGGCATTTGTGCCCAGCCAGACTGCGGCACCAGCCCTTTTTATTTTTTGAGACAAGATCTTGCTTAGTTGTTGAGGGTACTGCTAAATTGCCAAGACTGGTCTTAAACTTATGATCCTCTTGTCCCAACCTCCCTGAGTTGCTGGTATTATAAGCATGCACTACCATACCCAGCAAACTGTTTTTATTCAGAGTCCACTCACCAGAGCAGCAACTCTAAAGGAAGGTAGAAGAACCTATAATTTGAAATATTCCTAATCCACACTTCTCCCTATCCCCATTCTTTTTATCAATTTTTTTTTTTTTTTTTGGTTCTAAGAATTGAACCCAGGGGCACTTGGCCACTGAGCCACATCCCCAGCCCTATTTTGTATTGACAGGGTCTCACTGAGTTGCTTAGCACCTTGCTCTTGCCGAGGCTGACTTTGACCTCAAAATCCTCCTGCCTCAGCCTTCCAAGCCACTGGGATTACAGATGTCCACCACCACGCCCAGCATTTTGTTATATTATGCTCACTATCTGAGATTTCATGTAGTGATTACTTTTGCCAGAAATGACCCATTCTTCCACTGTTTCTTACCTGATAAACTCCAGCCATAAAGGTTACAGTGCTGCCAACTTTAATTGCATAGCAACTTTTATCACATACCCTGTCTAATGTCTGGTTTACTAGTGTGCTCCTATTTAAAATAATTTCTAAAGAAGGAGCAATATCAGAGCCAGCTTTGTGTACTTCTCGGTCAACTACCTCACCAATCATAAGGCACAGTACACCAAAAATGCCCACAGAGATGTGATGGGAGGTACCAAATATGAAATAAATGATGCTGGCAAAAAAAGATGTATACAGTCCATAAATAGGTTCTTGGCCAGCCAAAAGGGAATAAGCAATGGACTGGGGCACCAATAAGATGCCCACAATCAAGCCAGACATCACATCTCCTAGAATGTTCTTCTTTAGATCATATTTTGGGAGCCATCGCAAAACAGGAAGGAAATCAAAAATCATATTTTTAACTTTGGTTGGGCTACACTGGCAACTCTTCTGTAGCTTTTTGATGACAAACTGCTTGATGTTAGTATGTGATTTCTCCTGAGGCTCCATATGGATCCTAGGATAAGAACTGCGTCGATCATTGGTCTCAAATTGCTTCAAGTCAGTACTTGATTCCTTTTGAGGCTTCAGAAGGACACCAGATGGAAGACTGTCATTTCCTTCAGCTGAGTCCCTGGGTGAAAGGTCATGTTGCTCTTTACTTTCCAAAGACATTTCCGGAGACAAATGGTTCCGCTTCCTACCCCAGAGAAAATATCAGTGTTAACCGATAAAGTAGTTCTCAGTATTCAGGTATATTAACAATCCTACTTGTCACACACATGGAAGTTAAGAGGACTTCAGTTTGGGGATACATATCTTATGCCTTCTTTTCTTCATCAAGCCTTGTTTATCTTAGAGGAAAAAAGACAAGCACCAGACCACAAACAGCTAGGTCAAAGCAAACAATTGGTTGATACAGGACACCCCAAGAGTATAAAGCACTAAGGATTATTTTCCATATTTGCCTGTCTACCCCTGCAGTTTTTTCTTCAGACAAGTTACTGGGGCACTCTGTCTTCTTTCTATATACAATAATGGTCTGCTTCCCAGGCATACCACAAAATAGGATCTAGTCTCAAATCTTCACTCTTCTCTACCCATCCTTGAAAAAGTGGTGGAGCACTTGCCTAGCATGTGTGAGGCAGTGGGTTCAATTCTCAGCACCACATATAAATAAATAAAATAAAGGTATTGTGTCCATCTAAAACTAAACAAAAAATAAAAATAAAAAAGATGGCTCTTTGTGTATGTATATGTTCATTTTTAAACGACCCACTAATTGTTGAGAATAGAAGATAAAGTATGTGACGGAGTATAGATAAGTGTTTTGGGCAATAAAAAGAAACTAGAGCAGAATGCATCTGAATCTTCAAATAGCACTCCTTTACTTAGATAGGGAAGAGAAGCTGATAAGAGAATGTTGAAACTTAACAAATATCAAGTGCATGGGGAGGGTTGATAGGGCACGTGACTAATATATGCTATAGAAGGTTTTGGTCCATTCTACTGAGTTCTAGTTTGGAGTTATCTGCCTTATGGCAGAGCCCATATTCATGCAAAGAGAGACCCACTTGACTACTATGAGTACACACAATAAAACATAGGATATCTAGAGAGGAAAATGTTGCCTTGAACTTCCACATCTCTAGGTCCTACCAAAACTATAGAACTAGTGCCATAAATCTACTACTAGGAACTACAGGAAAATAAAGGAGATAAAAATAACAAAAAAGAGAAGGGACAACAAAAATCTTAGGAGTAAAAGAGGAGGAACAAGAATCATGCTCTCAAAGGAGTCCAGTGAACACTTTTTAGCAAATACTTCACAAATTAGTGACTTTCCATAAGCTATGTGCTTAGCTTAGAATATCCATCCATCTCTCTGCTTGTCAAGACCTTAATCATTTTTGAAAACCCAGTTAAAATGCTACCTTTGCTACAAAGCACTACCCAATTTCCCCTAACCCAAATGAATCACTGTGTCTTCTGTGTTCCACGACACTTTGCATCTGCATTATAGTAGTAACCACACTCTGTATTAGTTAAGTAAGAGTGTCTCCTGGAGAAAAGACATCTTGTTCATCAGTACAGTCATCACTAAACACAATATAATAACTCTGAGATAGCAGGTTCACAGAATATTTGAATAAATTTAAGAACAAATAAGCAAACAAATTTGTGACTATGAATATATAGAGTCAAGACAGATGGACGACTCAGGAAATTTTCTATTTTCTTTTTTCCCCCCAGTCCTGGGGATTAAACCCAGGGACACTTTACCATTGAGCTACATCCCCAGCCCTTTTTATTTTTTTTTTATTTTGAGACAGGTTCTCACTAAGTTGCTGAGGGCCTCTCTTAATTGCTGAAGCTGGCCTGGAACTTGTTGATTCTCCTGCCTCAAGCCTCCCAAATCACTGGGATCATAGGTATGTACCACTACAATTGGCCAATTTTCTGTTTTATAACTGACAGAAAAACAAATCTTTGTGAGGTATAAACCTAAGTGCCACATTCCAAGATCCCATGGCCTATTCACCAATACAAGATATATAAAATTTTATTTTATTTAGGTTGAAGAGTAAAATAACAGTTATTTTGATGGTCTTGTGAAGCAGAAAAGGAAAAAAAGGATAGATGCAAATGGCTACTGACCCTAAGCAGATAATCAGGTTGATGGATAGACACAGTAGCTCTTCGTTCCTCAGTGTAAACAGTCTGTAATTATCTTCTCACTTCCAGCTTTCTTGAGCAGCTTGAATGCACTTCTTACCTCCTAGTTTGGAGCAGCTCTTGTTGATTTCTGGGTCAAAAGTCTTTGACAAACCTAAAAAACAAAAAGAAACATAAAGCAAAACTAAACAAATCTGGGTCTTTGCCTTCTATGGAGCTGTTGAAAAGAATAAAAGAAAAAATACTTGAAAAGTATAAGAGAAGGCTGGGTACAGTGGCACATGCTTATAATTCCAGTGACTCAGGAAGCTGAGGCAGAGGAATCACAAGTTCAAAGCCCACCTCAGCAAGGCCCTAAGCACCTTAGTGAGACCACCTCAAAATAAAAAATAAAAAGGATTGGAGATGTGGCTCAGTGGTTAAGCGCCCCCGGGTTCAATCCCCAGTACCACAAAAAAGCAACAACAACAAAAATTATGAGAGAATTGTAAATTAAGAAAGAATCAAATAAAAAAAGAATCAAATAGAAATGCTGTAAAAACTATAATAGAGGCAAAGAATCAATGAACTCAGGTCAACAGAAATTAACTAATGCAAATCAGCTAAATGCTGTTTTGCTGTTTGGTATTCAAACAGTAACAAAACCAGAAACCTAATACCAAAATAACAGAACATCCAAGATATGTGAGACATCAAGCTAACTAACATGTGCATAATTAAAATCTATAAAGGAGGAGAGAATGGGAGAAGAAATGTGTGAAGACATAATGGCCAAGAGTTTTCCAAAATTAATGAGACACAACTACAGATCCAAGAATCTGAGAGAATGCCAGGAAGGATACACATAAAATTAAAACAAAACCCTGTACCTATACATATCACATTCAAGCTGCTAAAAACAAAATATAAAGAGAAAATAAACAAAAGAAAGAAAAAGCCACACTCTTTACACAGGGACAAAGGTAAGAATTACAGCATCTTTCTTTTTAGAAATTATGGAGGCCACAAGACAATGGAGTTATATCTTCACCAGTGAAGTCTACACGCAGAAAAAAAATCTTTTAAAAGATGAAGAAGAAATAAAAACTCTCTCAGATAAACACTGAATTTATTACCAGCAGGTCAGTTAGTTTGCGTTTGTGCACTATGTTGCCCCTGCACCCATCCTCCCTCATAAGTTACAGAGAGATTCTTTAGGCAAAAGAATATACCAGACAAATTTAGGTCAACACATCAAAGAAATAAAGGTTCAGGAAATGGCACAAATGAAGATAAAATATACTTAACTTTTTCAGTTTAAAAAATCTTCAATTTCTCTAAAAGATAACTGTCTAAGCCAAACGCTTGAATGTCTTATTTATGCATATAAAAAATAAATGTGTGACAATAATAGCAAAAAGAATGGGACTTGGAATGGGGAATTACAAGGTCTATCTGTAAAGTAATATAATAGTAAAATGATTAAAAAGGCCAATTTTATGTTACATATACTTTACCATACACACATACGCAAAAGCCAAAAGGGACAAAATTCTAAGACTCTTATGCCATATATGAAAAGATAAAAGACCATGAAATGCAATCCTCATATTCTGTAGATAATAATAAGGGGTTCAGAATAGTGAAATCATTTAAAGCAGAGCTGGAACTACAACTCAAGTATCCTGACCCCTTAACCTTTTTCCTCTAATAGATTATCAGTCTCCTTATATGTGTACAAATCATCAAATATTACAAGAAAACTAGTGTCAACTCCAAAGTAATCTAGAGATCTAAAGTTTATTGAAAATTGTTAAATCTTAACTCAATACTAAGGTAAACAAGTCATCTACCAAAATAAGCATCGCTTCTTAGATGGAAAAATCTAAAATAGCTTGGAATAGGTAATGTATAATTTGGAAATAAGTTTCCAGTACTCCCAGCACTTACAAGCAGCAGGATGATAGCCCTAATACTAGCCTCTCTGATTTGGACACACTCTGTAGGTACATTCTGCCTTCTGACTGCTTATTTTGAAGCTTCTTAAAAATCTTAAGAAAAGTTGAAAGAACAAGACATGAAACACCTGTATACTCACAATTCACCTACTTAACTGACAATTGTTCTTTTGCACCCTTTGTCCTTACAGAGTCTTGTTCTTCTGAACAACTTGAAAGCTGCAGACATACTTTGCCTTAAACACTTCATTGACCCTACATTTTGTAACCCTATGCTATCTGCCTCTTCTTCAAAAGAAGAAATCATTAACATAAGATGTCTACCTCTTGGATATACTCTTCAAAAATCTGCAAGGGCTCCCTGCCTCTTAACAGTCTAATAAAACCTTAGTACAGTCTCCTAAGTAGAACAAGACTGCAACTGCCTCTCTTGCTTTCTTCCATTCACTAGTGTTCCAATCACCAATCCATAAAACTATTAGGCAGTCTGCTCCTTTGCTCATGCTATGCCTTCAGTCTGGGACGCCTTTTTCTTTTTTTCTTTCTTTCTTTCTTTTTTTTTTTTTTTTTTTTGTGGTGGTGGTGCTGGGGAATGAACATAGGCCCTCATACATGCTATGCTCATGCTGAACTACACTCTCAGCCCCTTTCTATCTTGGTTCTTTTTCTAATCCTAGAAGGCCCACCTCACAGGGAGACTTAAACTTCTTAGGCTAATCTTCCTTGACACATTACATAAAATGATTTAGCACTTAAGCAAACATGTCTCTCAAATTACAGCACATTGATAGGCAGGCATCAAGTCATCCTTGTCTCTTAGAACCCAGCACTTAACGCCTCACACTTGCATTCACGTTAACGGAAATAAACATTTATGTTTCTTTACTTGAAACAACTTTTGTTTACTGAGGATTGAACCCAGGGCTTTCTGCATACTAGGCAAGTATTCTACCACTGAGCTGCATACCCCTGCCCTTTTTATTTGATTTTGAGACAGGGTCTTGCTAAGTTTCCTAAGGTGACCTCAAACTTGTGATTCTCTTGTCTCAGTCTCCCCAAATAGCTAGAATTACACCTATGTGAAACAGCTGAATGCAGCCAATACAACTAAGTATTAAGTAAATACAATGAAGACAATAAAACTTGTTTTCCAGGTATCACAGTTACCAATGTTCATTTATGTCTATGATACAAAATAATCAATATGAAGCATTTATCAGTAGTGTAAACATCATGACATATTATATCTGATATTAAGCACAATCGAAGACAAAATAATAAAATATCCAAGAGGAAAATAATATAAAACCACCATCACATAAATAGTTCCTTGTGCAGTAATTCACAGCTTTCAAGATTACATACACATCTTCTACTTGCCTCCTCAATAAACTTAAGGACACAACAGGAATTCCCATTTTCCAGTATGAGACAAATCAAGTTTAGTCACTTGCTCTATTAGTAACATCAGATTCTCAAATCTCATCCTCCAATTTCCAAGTTTAGCTTTTTCTATAAAACAACACTGTCTCCCCCAATTTGTTTCCTTGTTAAAAGGTTTTAGTTCAAACTATTAGTCTGTAGACAAGTACTCAACTCAGGATTTCTGAGTATATTAGTAATTTTAATAAGTGAAGATAACACACTACTTAAGCAGGTTTGGTTAAAAAAAAAAAAAAGTCCAAGACTAAAATTACTTTTATGTTTCATACTACATTCATACTTGGTAACATTTTCTTTTTTTCCCCTATTAGAAGAAAACATAAATTTACTCCAGTATTACATTTTGGCCAGAATAACTGTCATCCAAGACAAAAGTCAAACAAAGCAAATAAGCCCTTGCCTCCTCCATACCTTTTTTCTTCTCTAATGGAAGTGCCCTTCTCCAGTTATATTCATGGCTTGCTGCCTGTTTTCTCAAAGGATACCTTATCAATTAGTTCCTTCTTAGACACAATAGAAAATGGCACCACTGCCATCTGGGTCTATCTCTGCTTTGTACTCTCATCCCCTTTGCCTAATTTTTTTTTTTTTTAAGTCTATGGCCCTGTCAGTTTTTAAACTGTCTTTCAGGCGGGGGCAGGTAGGGGTAGTTCAGGGGCAGGGGGCTTGCATAGCATCCAAAGGCTCAGGGTAAAATCCACAGCACCATTAAATAAATAATTGTGTTTCTTTCCCATGAAGGCAGTGACTTACTCTATTTTGTTTGAAGTTGTATCCTGAGTGCTCTGTTATGTGGCATCTAATAAGTGCTTGTTGATGGTTGATAGTTTAACAGCTATTCAGGAAGAAAAAGGAAGTTATTTTCCCCATTCTTACTAACTCACCAACTCTGACCCTTCCACCCCCACATACCAAAACAAAACTTTTTAAAATATTTTTTTAGTTGTAGATGGACACAATACCTTTATTTTGTTTATTAAGGTTATTTATGTAGTGTTGGCAATCTAACCAAGTGCCCCACACATGATAGGCAAGTACTCAACCACTGAGCCACAACCCCAGCCCCCCCAAAACCAAACTTTTATCAAGAAATTATAGTTTGGCAAACATCTGCCTGGGGTTTATGCTCACTAAACATGTTGTGTTGATTCTCAAAGTCTACCTCTAGTAAATACCTCTGGAGATCCCCCAAACTCTGAATTTGTTCATTTCTAGATCCTCCCCTAGGAGGCAGCACACTGAAGTACTGTACAATGATTTTCAAATAGAGATCAAAATGCAGATTCTTAGGCCTGCCCCTAAAAATCCAAGTATGGAATCTAAGTCTCTGCACTGTGGATAATAATGAGCTTTAGGGCCACATATGGAGAATCACTAGTTGTATTCTAGAAGTCAGACCAAATCTCTATTTAGATCCTAGCTACACTGTTCAAAGTTGTTCAGGGCTGGGTGAAACCTTCTACTTAGCATCAATTTGTGACCTACAAAATGGAGATAATATTACCTAACTTGCAGGATTAGGTAACACAAGTAAACTACCTAAGCATATAACAATTATTTAATAAACAACAGCTATAAGTCTCTCTCACAATCTTTGAGATTCCTTCAGGAAAAAAAAAATTGGACTCATTTCTTTTTTTTAAATATTTATCTAGTTGTAGGTGGACACAATATCTTTATTTATTCATTTTTATGGGTGCTGAGGACTGAACCCAGGGCCTCACACGTACAAGGCAGGTGCTCTACCACTAAGCTACAGCTCCAGGCCGGACTCATTTCTTTCCAACAGCGCTGATCCTCCATTTCCTATTGATCCAACTTTCAAAAACAAGAATTTCTGCTTAACCCAATCCTATAAATCACATTAGCTCTAGATTTCACATAAAGCCATGATGTGAAGCTAGGGGTGGGTATGGAGCAATGGCAAGAGGCCCTGGGTGCAATCTGCAGCCACTCTCTTCCCCAGCCTCCGCAGGAAAAAAAAGGGGGGGAATATAGGGGTGAAAATACTAATACGTACCAGAAAGGAGTGCAAGTTTTGGATGCTTCTAACTCATGGTGGGCCCCAATCTGTGCAAGAAAAAGGGCCCTGCCAGATATTTACAAGCTGAGTACCAGCCCTAGCTCTGCAATTATAGTTAAGGCCCTGGACCACAAGTCTTCTCAGTGTCCTCACCTAACCACTGAAAGAATTCCAACTTCAGTGTATGAGTATTAAAGAAGTACAAGTCCATACCCTTCTATGACTCAGAAACAAAAATAAATAAATCTATTGCTTTGAGGGAGAAAAAAAGGAAAGGAAGTCAAGGAAGGAAGCGTAAGTCCTAACTTTGTATCTAACCAGGTGTCTGATTTTAATACCCAAGATAACCAAGTATTCTCTTCAGGCCCGTTTCCCCATCTGCCCAAGGTGGGGCGGCTCCTACCACCTCGGTGCAGCTCCCCAGGTCTCAGGGTGCCAATCGCCTCAGCAAGGAACAGCAGCTCCGCGTCTGCGAGGTGCGAGGGGTGTAGGATGAAAAATGGGCAGTCATGGGCCGCAGGAGCTAGCCGCCTCATGAGATTGAGGCTCTGCTCCGGCCACCGCCGATTAAGGGAATAACCCGGACTCACGCCCACTTCTCCCCGCCCGACCACTACGCTCACGGAGAAGCTAGGTCATGGCTTCCTCCCACCACTCTTGGGACCAAGGCCAGTCTGAACCTAAAAGGTGCCCGCAGATCGCGTAGCGGCCGCCCCGACCCCTCCCCTTTGCTCACCTCTGGGGTCCGGACAGCAGCACGCAATGAGGCCCCGCGGCGCCTACTCCGCCGTGGCCGGGATGAGCGGACACCTCAGCGCCGGCAGAGGCTGTCCGGCCCCGCGCTGGCCTCTTTTTAAACGGCCCGTCCCCTTCCCCGCCCATTGCCCGGCCCCCGGAGGAGGCAGAGGACCAGCCAAGCGAGACCCAGGGAGCGCAGCGAAGACGCACCGGCCAAAGGTGGTGCGGAAGGTACTCCGGTTGCTGAAGCCCGGGACTAAGGTGGTCACGTGGTTCTGAGGCTAGCGAAGCTGCTGTCAGCCAATGACTGGGCCCGGGTCGGCGAGGGTTCCGCCCCCTATCTGTTTTCCTCCTCTCGATTGGCTGTCCTGGCAGAAGGGGCCACGCGGCCGAAATCCTTCGGCAGTTCCTCCGGCACAGAGACGGGTGATTCAACCGCCAAGTGGGCAACCTATCGGTTCTCAGCCGTGACCCGCAGAGTGTAGGGAAGATGAAATGTCAGAATCGATAAGCGGAAGCGCTCTGCGCGGAGCTTTAGAGAGCTCTGAGATTGCGAGCTGCCTCATCTTCATCCAAGACTTCTTGGGGCTCCTTTTGCTCCACCCGCAAAGGGGAAATTGAAGCCCTGAATGGGAAAAGGCGGCCAGAAAGTTAAGGCACTTGCCCCATTTGAACTTGTTCTCCACCAAAGATCCCAATAACTAGAAGGCCCTTTTTAAAAACGTAAAACAAAAAGTGTAAAAGTATGAAATGTAATTCCAGCCCTTGTTTAAAACCTTCCGTGGCTTCCCATGGCCTTTATAGAGCTCTCTCTCCCTGTGTCCTCTGCACTTTCCTCACTGCTCTGAACTGGCCATCTCTTGTGGGATCTGAACACTGGTTGCTACCACCTGTTGTCTCGGGTCTCTCTAAATTCTTGCCCTCTCCTCGGAGGACATCCCTGACAATCTTATGTAAAGGAGCCACCCCGTCCCACCCTATCACGCCCTCTTGATTTAATCATAGGTCTGGACAACATGGCGTATGCATTCATTCGTTCATTTGTAGCTTTCATGGAGAATGAATTATGGTTAACTTCTTTGCCACGAACCTCTTCACAATCATTTAAGAAATTTTCTTATCTACAGATGATTGATCCCCAAGTTTTGTTGCCCACCGAATTAAGAGTTTCCAAGGTCACAAACTACATCGATAATTGTATTAATCAGGGTTCTCTAGAAGAACACAATCAAAGGAAGTATAATGATAAAAAGTTGACTTATTAGGTTAACTGGGTAGTCCACGAAGGCCGCTGCAGGCTGGAAAGCTGGGAGAACCAGTAGCTGCATAGTCTTAAGAGGCTGAAGCCCCCAGAACAAGAGAGATGGATGTTGCTACCCTAATCTGAGACCTAAGCCTTTTGGAGAATCACTGTCAGAGTCCGCTTTGGAAGAGTCCAGGAGAGAGAATCCGCTCCCTGAGGGCAACAGCAATCAACAGCCCGTTCAAGAAGAATTTAGCTTGAATCTGCTGCTGCTTCTTTGTTCTTCCAATTTTTATTTCATACAAGCCATCCTATTGATTGGTGCTGCCCATGCTTGGGGAAGGTCTCCATTTCAGTTGACTATCCACAGGCCAATCATTCCTAGGCACACCCCCATAATCCTTTTAAGCCTTGGAACCTCTTAATCCAATCAAGTTGAGGATTCAAATTAACCACTACAGTAATCAACAACCAATACCTGGGTTCTGATTCTTATGCTGCCCCTTTAGACTGGGGACAGATAGTCTAAATTCGCGTCAGTATTCTCACCTTTCAAAGGGTAGTTAATGGGTTAGCACCGAGTTTTTGAGAGGATCAAATAAGACAATGGGATGTAAATTATTTGCAGCTCCCTATAGATTGCCCAACAAGCAGAACCTCCATAATTGCCCATTTCTGGATGTTTATCACGTGTCTCATAGAGACCTTCATATTCATATTTTAGTTAATTCTCACAACCCATCTTTTTAGAGGAGACCCTATACCTTGAGTCTCCTTTTATATGAGAAGAAATGAGACTAGAGATTTTGGGTGAGTTGCCCAAATGTGTATGGTTAATAAGTGACAGATGACTTTAACCCAGTCACATCTGACTGCAAAGCACATTTTCTTAATCCCTACATTCACTATACTATTCAAGTGTTAAGAATCTATCCACAACCTTACATATAATAGACATCAATAAAGACTGGTCTAATAAAGGCTATCATTTTCTTCTTTTTATTCCATATATATTATTCTGCACTACAGATGAAGAAATTGAAACTCGGGATGTTGTTACCAACATCATACAACTGGCAGGTAGTAAATATCAAGGGCAATTTCTGAGAACTGTCAGATGTTCAAATCTAAGAACACCCAGCTCTGCCTCAGTGCTGGGGAAGGTGCTACAGAAGCTTTAGTTCAGCCATTGGAACCTCTCTCAGTTTAACATCCTCAGCTGCTGCTTAATATGGTGCCCCCCTCAAAATCCTCAGGGGCCCCATGAAGGTGGATTTTGATCTATCATGCCTGTATTACCTTCACTGATGCTCCAATGGCTCCACAGCATATTGAAGGGGAAAAAAAAAGGACAACCAACTCCCCCTGATGGAGAGCTGGCTAATAATCTGCTTTTCTTTGATAACAGCAGGTCACCAGCCTGGCCAGCCAGTACCTAGATGTTTTCACCCCTCCTACCTAAGCCTAAGCATTTTCCCTCTTGTTGGTCTCAGGGTTTATAGGGTGGCCAGCAACCTACGGGCTACATATTATAGCCATTACTCTGTTCCAAACAGCTTCACCAAAGAATAACTAATGATGTATTAACTGGGGGAATTATGGGTCAATAAGGAAATCATTTTAGGTCAGGGACCCCATTAGGATCCACCATCTCAGTACTTCCTGAAGACCTGTTTTTTTCCCACATGGGATAGGCCACCTCCTCTAAGACCTCACCCAACCTTAGGATGACTTTCACTGTTTAATGGACCATTCCTGATTTTGCTCTTCAGGAGTCATTGTCATTGCTGTAGATGTTGTACTGTTATTATTATTATTTTTTTAATTCCACATCTTAAAAATAGTTGACAGAAACTCAAGTAAATAAATTCAAAACATCAAGAGGCTGGCAATGTAGTTAAATAATAGAGCACATGCTTAACATGCACAAGGCCCTGGGTTCGTTGCCCAGCACAAAAGAAAAAGAATTTACAGTGAAAAGAAAAATCTCCCTCAGGCCCTATCCATTCTTACCTAAGGGTACCTTTCTCCAGTGTACAGCCCCTGTTTCCTATGTTGCCTTTCACATTTATTCTATGCCATCAGTTCTCGATTATGGCTGCACATTAGACTCTCTTAGGGAAATTTCTAAAAGATACCAGTGTTTGGGTTCCATCTCCAGATATTGTATGTAGTATAGAGTGAGTTCACGCATCAATAGTTTTAAAAAAAAAAAACCCTCTCCATGAGTACACTTGGGATCAGCAAACCAATGTTCTATGCATATACAAGACTGCATGTGTATTTTTAAAATAAAAGTGGCATGTAGTATACACTAACCTGTACTTTAAAAAAGTAATATACCTTTAAGATTGTTTCATATAAAGGTACAAAAAGCTGCCTTTTGACTATATTGCTTAGTAAATCACTCTACAACTTAGAGAATTTATATATATATATATATATATATATATATATATATAACAGTTTCTGAGGGTCAGGAATTTGGTAAGCTCTGCCTGGTAGCTTCTAGCAGATTAACTCTAGAGAGTGGCTAGAAGTAGGGTAGAATTGGGATAGAAAAGGGGCTCAGTGCTGGGAGCCATTAGCCAAGTAGGTATGACAATTTCCTTGCCAGCGTACCCCATGTTGCAGTGACATTGAATGTAGGTGACCTTGCTCAAGGACCAGGGCAGATTAGGGTGTTCCTGGTTTAGGATAATTGGGTTTAGGGCATTCCAGTTTAGGGCGTTCCAGGTTTAAGATTATTCCTCCTGGGAATAGGGCGTATCCTGCTGCCTGAGTTTCCCTTGAGTTCTCACGGGATTCAGACAGTAATTTTTGGGAGATAGAAGCCCAGTGGAGGTGGATTTGGGCAGAGAACGTGGATTTCCCCAGAACGTGTTTGTAGACGGCTGGTGTGAGTTTGGGAATAAAGAGTTGCTGTTTGAATCTACAAGCTGTGTGGTGGCTCGTGATTGTGTGCCCAGCCAGACTGCGGCATTTGTGCCCAGCCAGACTGCGGCATTTGGCGTCCCGTGCGGGGAACTTCTGAAGCTTGGAGGTAAGTGAAATTGCTCGTCCCTGAGGAAGAGCAAAAGAATGGGTGACCATTTCAAAAAAAACCAGTGTGTTCTTGTTTTGATTTACCTTGTTTTTGTTTCAAGCTGCCTATCCCTAGAAATTTCTCAGGCAAACTGGAAAAAATGGTTGACTAAAGGTTTGAAGTTTGTTGGCCCTGAGGAAGAGAAAATTGATACAATGATTTTTTATTCCGTTTTTGTTTCATTCAGTTTCGGTTTTGTTTTGTGTTATCTTATTGGGTTGCGTTATCTTTATAGTAGATTAGAAATTAGTAAAAAAACAAACCGAAAAGATGTTAAGTAAATTGTTAGAGGTTCAGACCATGGAGAAAGACATTTTAGATCAAGCAAAAGAGAAGGTCTCTCGAGCTAGTCAGACAGAGGAAGAAAATTTAAAGGAAAAGGGGTTGTTAGGAAAAAGGCCACAACAGGAGGCTGTTACTAACTCCGTTTTATCACAAGAGGGCATAATTCAACCAACAGCCCCACCGATGGAGACAGCTGAGTGGCGCTCAAACCCCGTAGTTGATAAATGGGATCCTGAGACAGGACCTCAAAGATTAGCATGCCCTGTACTTGAACAGGCAGGAGGGCAGCGAATTCACCGTGCTTTAGATTTTAAAACAGTGAAGCAGTTAAAGGAGGCTGTAACAACCTATGGTCCCCAAGCTCCCTTCACGGTAAGCATGGTTGAGTCCATTACTAACTTGGACATGACACCAGCAGATTGGGCTAGCATGTGTAAATCTGTACTAAATGGAGGACAATATTTGTTATGGAAGGTTGCCAATGAGGAATTTTGTGCGGAGACAGCTAGGCGAAATGCAGCAGCCGGTTACCCTCAAAGAAATCTAGATATGTTGTTAGGAAAAGGACCTTATGAGGGTCAACGGCAACAAATTGAATATGATCCTGCTAT